GCCGCCATGGAAGTCTTTCTGTTACTGTTGCCATTTTGGTATTTGAATCATCACATCTGTACTATACCAATTACAGTAATATTACGTTGCGTGTGACATGGAGTCTAAAGGAAATCTACACATTGAGAAACCCGTGTGGTGTATATTAGTGCACAACAACCCGGAATTTTTCGTGAACAAACTCAAAACTTTTCGTGGTAGACTTGAATTGCACAAATACGCGAGCACGCAGACTGAATAAACCGAATTTGGTCACAAAATGGCTGCGCGGGTCACGTGAACATATTTTTCCGCGTCGTCATCCGCCTACTCTCTATTCTGTATAAGGGGAATCTATTCGATATTTCTCTAAATATTATCAACATTATCAGAGACTGAAAAATGCTTAAGGATGTGCTACTTTTCCTCAGATATCGTATTGGCAAGGTCAATGTAACTATAAAATCATGAGTGACTGCATGGAAAAGATAACATTATGTTTGAATTATGTATAATATTTTTAGCTTGATTAGAAACTCTAGTGCTTTGAGTATATTCATGGCTGTTGGAGCACCTGGACAAATAGATTCTGTGTTTATGCATTTGTACATATTTTGAGCATCTAATGTATGTATCTAATTAGCTTTTCCATATTAATTAGACTTCTAATTACGCCAAATTACAATATTACCAGAGATCCAAGGGCGAGAGCCCCTTACCTATATATCCAAACCCGACTGCATGGGGCGTTCTGGTCCCATCGATAATAGAGTCCATTTCTACAGAGAGTAGCGACAACTGAGAACACACCGCCATTTTGGGGGCAATTGTGAACCGCTGCGTATGTGGGTGTGCGCACGTGTGTATATAGAACCTCTTCGGCTTAAGGGAGAGCAGGAAGATGGAAAAAGTGAAACAAACAATATTAATAATAAGTGATGAAAATAAAATACAAATCATAAAAAGTACATTAGCTAAATAAACTAAACTATAATATAAAAATAGAATAAAGAGATGTTAAAAAGCATAATAGGAAAAATGTGATTTAAAAAAAAAAGGATTCTCCCACTGTAGAAGTGATAGTTTTCATATACATGATTTCTGTTTTGCTTTATTTATTTATAAACTTTGCTAGGGGTATAAAGCATGTCAGTATTGTAATGAAATTGTTTTATTTAGTTTATTTTTTATTTCCAGTTTCTTGTAACAGCTTTCATCTTTCTTTGTCGAAAATTCACAGTCGAAGATAAAATGTTGGGTTTATTTTTTTCAAACACTATTTTAATTTTTTTTTTTTTTTGCATTTCATGTCATTTTCTCTAAGTTTCGCAGTGCGGGCTACACCTCTATACCATATCGACAGCCAATAACCCCCCTCAAAAAACATGCAGTCATGGACCCACACACATATTTGTTCTCACTCATTCCAGCATACTGTAACGTAAACTTTTTCATTTTTTTCTATCGGTTAACCACATTTAGCAACATATCCAGGTACAAACAGATCAAATGATACTATACAGCTATCAAAATTAATAATTGAGAATACAACATTTTCATTGATGCTAAACAAATTACACAAGTTTTCAAACGGGAGTATACAATTTCGTGATAAATTACTCTATTTGCTCAGTTCATTTTCAGACCCTTTTTAAAATTAATCTGGAGTACTGGTTGAGGATTAAAATCTAAATTGTTTAGCTTCCAACGAACATATCACATTTAAAGTGTATTAAAAAACAATTTTCTTCATGTGTACTAAACATCTGTATGCATGGCTAAATGCTAGCAGTGGTCTGGTGGCCATGGGCCAGTTAAATTTGATGTCAGTCTCGCAACATTTCCAGAACGGTGAAATTTGGTGCCCCCATCGGACAAAAAAAATTTCACTGTCACTTATAAAAATTACTGCAAATTATTGTATAAATACAGGGCAAGTCCTATTGCAACATGTACATAGTCAAGCTATTCAAGATATTGTTGACCTATTGTAAACTGAATGTTCAATACAATGTACTGCTATTCAATATTTCAGAATTCTTCAGCTGCATTTTATGATCAGTACGCCCACTTTCTAACTGTCGAGGACGCAAATGTGCAAATGAGTTTAATACTTTCATTAAAAACATATCTTTATGAAATATCCTATTACAAGTTAACATTGCACATTTGTTAATTATGAAAATCATATAGTCTACACAATACCCCAAACTGAAGTAATCTCTTACCCACTATGCAATCCCTGTAACAGTATTGAACTTCCTTGTATTTCATGAATATTTATAATTATTTGCCACGAATGCATTGCTTTTCAAAATTAGGTTTTAAAGATTCACAATTTGACCTAATGGTAATGACATTGCTGCAGATGTGCTAGCAACAAGAAAATTTAAAAATATGGCTAAACATGTATGACCATTAGCTTAGTCCATGTATGTAGCCATGTCCATGCTTGGCAAATACGGCTGGTCTATTTTGGTTGCTCATTGTTTAATTTTTGTTTAAATCAAGTAAGCACTCGTCAGATCAAAATATTCGTTCAAATTGAACCTAGCATGATGAATACATTTACACAGTTCAAATACATATAATAACACCCATTTATTCTTTGGAATTAATCAAAATAAAAATTTGCCAAGATATTGCACTTTCTTAGTCTTTACATGTCAAATCAAAAATTTCACAAATGACAACTGTTTCACTTTTAAGTTTTAGGAAGCATATACACCTCCGTACCTTGTAAATTCGCATTTTTTTCGTAAGTACGTCGCAAAGCTTTGAAGATGAAGTTGGCTACCATCCCACACAGCTGGTTTTTTTTCACCCAGATTTTACTTCAGTTGGAGTCTAAAGGAAATCTGCACATCTAGAAACCCGTGTGGTGTATATTAGTGTACCGGAATTTTTAGTGAACAAATTCAAACATTTTCGTGGTAGACTTGAACTGAACAAATACGTGAGCACGCAGACTGGCTAAACCGAATTTGGCCACAAAATGGCCGCGCGGGTCACGTGAACATTTTTTCGCGTCGTCGTCCGCCTACTCTCTATTCTGTATAAAGGGAATCTATTCGATATTTCTCTAAATATTATCAACATTATCAGAGACTGAAAAATGGTTGAGGATGTGCTTTTCCACTGAGATCACGTTGACAAGGTCAACATGACTATAAAATCATGCTGTCCACTGTGTGTGACTGCATGGCAAGGATAACATTATGTTTATATTGTGTATGATATTTCTAGATTGATTAGAAACCCTAGTGCTTTGAGTACATTCATGGGTATTTCGTCCCCTGGACAAAAAGATTCTGTCCGTATATTTTTTTACTTATTTTGAACTGATAATTGATGTAACTAATTAGCTATGTCCTGATATTTAGAATTGTAATTGCACTGATTAAAATATTTTCATGTAAAAAAAAAAATTAAAAAAAAATTCTTTTTGAGCGATTTCACTGTACTGCGTTTCCTTGGTGACAATCGGTAACGCTCCAACGCATGTATATTTTTGATATGTATTGGATATGCAGGACGATAAACAACTGAATAGGGTAAAGTAATACCTGCACAAATATAAACAGTTAAAAAAATAATATCGAACGATTCCATTTACGGGAAATGGAAATACGATGATGGTCGAAATGATGTTTTCGTTGACTTAAGAAGGCAGAGGACTGTCGTATAATCAATTTGGGAATTGCTATCAGGCCACAAAAAAATACCAGAGAGCTCCTTACTCACATATCCAAACCCGACTTATTGAGGGCGTTCGGGTCTCATGGATAATTCCCCCAATCATTGAAAATGAAACGGGTATCAATGCTATATATATTTGGAAGTTCTGCCACAATTTTACTCATTTTCACTTTCTTTTTATTATTATTTAACATAATGGGGGACATTTCGACGTTAAGTTGCGCATTCACAAGATACAATTGTGTGCATGAGTTGGCTATAAATGGAAACTGTTGTATGTGCTGGCAATCGTGATATACATATTATATTATATTATATTATGCTAAATATAGTATATTTATTCATTTATAAATGTTCGATAATAATGTTTTTTATTATTTACTTTAACGCTTGTTTACGAGCAAATTGTTTGCATATTTTCAAAACAAACATATCCATAAATTATTACTAGTAATTTTGTTTTACCTGATAAGATAAGCATTTAATATTTTTTTTTAATTTTTCTGATTGCGGATTATTCGTCTCGGCCAATCACATAACACGTTACATACAAGAGCTTACCAACGCGCACAATTTTATTCTATACTAGTAAAATAAAACGTTAGCATATAATGTAAACAGAGACAATTTCTGTTGCAAACATCAAATATAAAATAACGCAATATACTTAGATACAATTAACTAATAGTTATTGTTTTTAAATTAGTAATTAGAATGGATGTACACTGCCTTAGTAAACCATTCGTAGCTAATGAGTTGATAGAAATGTATTTTGATTCAAAATGGCGAATATGATTTTTGCCTTGAAATATATTTACAGACAAAGAAACGTCCATAAACACTTTACATTCGTTTTAAAATCGCAACCATGACACATTTTTCCAAATGCGATCACATTTTACTTTGTATTGAATAGGACATTATCAGATTTCGATTTTGAGAAGCTGATTTTTGCGTCTTTTGCAGATCGTTGATTAGCAGTGGACGATGATTGCTGTGTATTTTGATAAATTACATACTTTCCCTACGTCTATGAGGTATAATAATAAAAAATGTTAAACAAATAAATGCACTAGCGTAAAGCTCCTGGATGAAACCGCTAAACATATGTCATTGTCACACAGAGTATGGACAAATAAACGTAATGTGAATAGTCAGCAAAGAGACATGAAGCAATGATTGTTTGCATTAAATTTTGTTTGGAATTGTATCCCCATGTTTTGCTTTGGAATGCTTTATTATCACATTACGTGGGTGAGATATAGAGGATTTTTTACGTCAGAAATATGTAAATCATTTCAAACACCCCCGCAACGAAAACTGAGCAAATATTATTATAAATGCAGCAGTGTGCCTACAGTTTTAATTCATTCGCCTGACATCTACTCCTCTACGAATGTGGACAGATTCATGTGAGTATGGTATATTTTGTTGCATGCATGTGGCTACGATATACATGATCTCAAATACAGGAAATCTGTTTTTTGGTGTGTGTGTGTTTTTTTACATTTACTATTTGTTCTAATCTTACCTGTTTATGAGCAATACGACCATATTGATCCACTGTCGAGCGAGCAGAATTCTCAACTGAAATCGCGAGCGAGATTTATTTTCGAATAGTTTTGTTTGAAAAAGTCATCTCAAAATAAAAATATTATCTCGATATTGTTCTAATGCATTATGAATTTAAATGCATTCATTTCGTGATTTTAATTTCATATTTGTAACGAATGCGTACGTAATCTTTCGTTACATTGATATGTTAACTATTTTTGACGCTACTACTCAGATTGATTTGATATGTGATTTGTACCTTACTCATTCCGTAATATAATATATGAGGTTTTCTATTTTTTGATATCGTTTTTGTCATAAACGCGATTGAAAACTGCTACGTAAATAATATCCATACTTCCGAGTAACCGGATTTCCTAGTGTGGCACATTTTGTGAGATATGTTGTATTTAACTCGAGTTCAGTTTACTCCACGTTCTTGATGATACCATACCCTTCGTATATGCTGGCTATCAAGTGTGCTGTACATATGTGAGTGAGCATGTTAAGTGAATTATTAATTAAAGGGTTTACGCTGTACCATATTGATATGTTCAAAACCTCTAAAGAAGTATAATGCGCATGTCCCTTAAAATAAAAAAAAAATAATATATGAAGCAGAATGTTTGCCCGTTCCGTTCGTCCATCTTTGTCACATGAAATAGAAGCTTCCGTTCCTTGTTTCAACTAAAATACTTTTTAATGAGACATATATACTACTGATGTTTGTCTACAGACACGAATACTGGTGAGACGAACTGAACACGATGGCAAAGATTCAAGCAGTATCCGTATTTTTTGTAATGCTAGCGACTTTTACGTTTGTCACATATACGGTAAGTAGTAGACGTTCTACAGTCGAACGTTTGCGTGTTAGCCCAATGAAACACCTTGAACATTCTTCCCATCGTTTGAAAATCAAAACTAAAAATCAGATAAAGTATATTATTATTTAAAAATCATTTTAAATTATTTATTAGACACAAAACGAACCTCCTGAAGAGCAACCAAGTCCTGGCACCCTGGAATCCGATATGAAGTTAACAGATGAACAACTCGGGGCTATTGTAGCAATTGTAGAGGCGGAGGCAAACGGAGTGGTTGATAGAAAGGCTAAAGCCGATCTTACTTATCGTTGGCCAAATGCCGAAGTGCCTTATGCAATATCGGATTCAAGTAAGGATGATGTTCATTTTCCCTGTGCAGCTTTTGTCTGTGTCTTTTTGCATTGTGCTTGTGTTTCTCGCTATGTACTCTATATATTTGTATCATTATAGGTCGAAATGATGGTGGTATAATAAGAAAAGCGCTTGCATATTGGGAGAGCAACACTTGTATTAGATTCCCGCTATATAATTCGGTCAACGCAAACCAACACAGAATAGAATTTATAAAGGCAGACGGGTAAGGTGGCTAAAAAGATAACATATTTTTCACAATTTTGCAATATTTAGTGGCGTATTGCTGTCTTTTCTATTCTATTCAAATACTGTTACACTTTTATTTATGCTACTAATCATTGTGTCCTGGGGGTGAGGGCAGGTCCGTTAACATTATTTAGATTTTTGCAAATAGTAAGACGAATGAAACGTCAACGGTTTAATATATTAGATTTAATGTTGGTGAGATGCAGTTAAAGCGATTTAGTACTTTTGCGGTGTCTTTGAATCCGAGGAAATAGTTCTGTGGCAAGTTAATCGTGTTGTGCCAGGTCACAGAACAACACACTCGGGACCACTGTTGTCTCTCCAGACTGTTTTTGAATGCAAGTACAGAGTAGAATATTCACCAATATTCCGTCTCAAACAGAGATAGGCTTTGAACTCAATGCCGATCATCAGTCCGCTTCACTTTAATGTCGGAACACGCCCAACGAACATCTAGTAGTATTGTGCAAATTTAGGAATTTCTCTTTGATTAACACCACGAGCCATTCTCTTGTTAATTTTTCTTGTACGTTTTGATGAATTGTACTATTGTGGGAAAGTGTTAATTTGGATGCATCCAAGATGCGAAGACAAAGCATATGTGCATTTAACATTTTACTTAAATGTTTCGTGATATTTATTATTTTTTAAAACTTGTTTATGGTCTTGGTACTCTTTTGTTTGTTTGTTTATTGTATGTGTTTCTTCAAGGTGTAAATAAACGGCATATATATTCTAAGTTGTTGTATTTGACTATAGGTCATCAGTGAAACTGTGGCACTTTAAACGCCCTTTTTGTCTCTTGGTTTAGAATCATCCTTAGCATAGGAACAAGCCTTAAGTAACAAATGAATATCATAGTATTTTGACAAGAATGTGGGCAGACAACTACGTTTATTAACATTACTGAATAACTCGGTGTGTATTAAAATCTAATATTCAAATTCAATACAAACCTCAAAATGTCTTGTACGATGTGACATTGGTATCAGATGATGTACAATTGTTATAGTAAAAAGCTTTGTAACTTTCAGATAACGCCTGAATCACCGATCAGTGTTGAACTCCTTATCTCGTGTTGCTATTTCAATTACTATATGGTTATTGATGCATTTGTGTTACCTTTGTAGGTGCTGGTCGTGGGTCGGCGATACCGGTAAACTCCCACAAAACATTTCCATAGGGGCTGGATGTGAATGGGTGAGTTATATTTATGTTGTGTTTTTGAGATGATGAGTAATGTTGAACGTTTGCCCTGGACCAAATAGGCGTAACGTTGTATACGCACTATGCGATACAGCGTGGGATGACACGATTAAATTGTTAATTGTGCAATATGATATACTAAAATATTGACGGAAAATATATGACTGTCAAAGGTGAAAGGTGTGTATCTTTTTTCAGATCGTGACTTATTGGATATTTTATTATTTTGCCCAATAGAGAGGAACTATCGCTCATGAAATTGGCCATGCAATAGGATTTTGGCATGAACAAAGTCGTGACGACAGAGACAATTATGTTACAGTTCACTTGGGAAATGTTAAATCGGGTCAAGATCATAACTTCAATAAATATACTGCAAACAATGTTAACTCATACAACGTGCCATACGACGTTGGGTCTCTAATGCATTATGGTCCCAAGGTAATAATACGTTTATCATTTCTTATTTGAACTTGGACTTTGACAATCCATACCATGAGGTGATACTACACAGTTTAAATACAAACTAATCTAATGAGATTCACGCTTTTTTACAGTGATAATCACAACGGGGATAAACTAAATCATCAATTCTACATATGCATCTGTCTATAACGATATTGTTTTTTTTTCTACATGTATTATTTCATAAACTAACTAACTTAGCATATTGATACTTCAGTTATGAACTCACGTCAGCTTATAAGTGTTGTGCTATGTTAACATACCAATAAATGAATTCAGTATTTCAGCAAGAATGGTTTGGATACAATAACAGCAAATAATCCAGAAGACCAAGATAAAATGGGCCAGGATGAGCATCTCAGTACTGCTGATATTCTGCTAGCTAATATAATTTACGATTGCCCAGGCAGGTATATTTCTGGTTATTTGTAGGACATAGCTGCTAAGAAAATGAAATCGATATTTCATGATCCATCATCAAATAATTGTGGGTAATTACCAACTAATTATCTTGAAGTCAAGAAAACTCCCCTAGCCGTGCACTAGCACGGTTGGCCAGATGTTGATCAGTATGGTTTATTCGTTTGTTCATTAGAAAGACTCTCAGATATACAAATGTAGGCTCTTGCACATTTACTGAAATTAATAAAATCATTACAGAATCAGAAACTCAACTAAAATTTAAGTGTCTCACATTTTATTTGTCAGAAAATATTTATAATTTTCAATAAATTTACCCTGTGTTTATTATTTGTTTTCATTGCGTTTGTGTTTCTCGCAATAAATTATACAGGTGGAGCTAAAATCAGCACGGAATCAAAGCGTTGGGAAAATAACCAGTGTGCATCGCCATACAAAGTGAATAGCCTTGCTACTATGAATTGGGCAGTCTCTGCGCTAATCGCGAATGGAGATACTTCAAATTTCTGGATTGATGGCAGTATTGACGGCTCTAGAATCACATTCAGTGATGGTTCAACAATGGCGGTTGACTCAAATCTATTTCACGATGATGAACCCAATGGAAGTGGTTCCTGTCTGCAGTTGTGGTAAGTTCAAAATAATGGCAATTGATGCCATCCTGTTATACTAAAAAATATGTGCATGGTGCGTGTTTATAACAAGGTATGCAGTTGTCGGTTTATTTTATCAACTCATTCTACAAAACCGGCTACATTTAATATCCTAAATCAAAATTACATCACCACTTTGCCAGAACAACCTCATTATTGCATAATCTACAGGCATAATAATGGTTACTGGATGATGGATGATTCATCATGTCACTACGAGCTGAACTATTTATGTTCAGGTAAAATATAATTTAAATTATATTCAACGTTGTATCTGACTTACTTTGACTATTTGAATATAAGTGAAGGTCATATATATACTGTATATATTCAATTTGTACAAACATGACCGACTGGCAGTCATTTCAGTTAAATTCATGACCGTGCCAATTCCTCACTAATATATCACCGATTCAGTTGAAAGTACTATACTTGCAAGTAATACTCTAGGCTGATCTATGTTTTTATTATAAAATTACAGATGCATGTCATATTTTTGTCTAGACGCGAACACGGATTGCCCATCTGACGACCATTTGGTTTGTTATGATTTCCATGTTAGTTTTTTTGACTGCATGTGTGTATATAATCACTGTATTTTGCATTTTACTATATTGAAATTGACATACGCGTGTACTGTGTACTGTCAAGGCGTATTATTATTATTATGCTCATGTTACATATAGCATTGCCTGTGGTTAGTTCGGACACAGCGTATCTAGCGTCAACTCAATGTGCGTCTGGAGCTCTATACCAAGTTACTGACCAGGCCAGTTTGGAACGTGCTCAGGTTGTTATGGCAACAAATGGAGAGAATGTAAATTACTGGGTTGATGGCAATATTTCAGGCAATACAATTACCTTCACTGGTGGTTCAAAAATCGCAGTTGATTCGACACTGTTTCACGCAAATGAACCCAATGGTAGTGGTCCCTGCCTCTTTTTGGGGTGAGTGTGAATTTGTTGGTGATTGATGATGACATAATTATAATTATAATTATAAAGGTGACTGTCGAATTACACCAACAAAACATTTCCCATAAACGTCTTTACAACATAGAATTGCAATATTATTATTTTTTTGCTCATATTTACAGGTGGAACAGCGGTGAATGGAAATTAGATGATAGCGCATGTGGTCATCAGCGAAGGTATTTATGTATTGGTTAAATGGTAAGTCATCTAGTATTTTGCCTTGCAAACATGTCAACCTAAACAACATTCTTAATGCGCATGTAATTCACAAAAAGTTAATTATTCTTGAACTCAACAATATTCTTCCCTTGTACATTTATCTACCGATTTGCACATAATTTTCTATTTCTAGGTTATATTCACTTAGTGCATATTTTGCATCCTGTGTAGTTTAAGCAATGGCACATTATTTATCCCCCTGCGTCTGTTCACTAATTTGACATTATTTCATTGTACAATATTCGTACATTATGTATCTGTTCACTAATTGCATATCATTCTCAGTTTTCTAAACATGTACATTATTTTCATGTTGTTAATTATTCGGTATGTAGTGTAGTATATTGCACTTCAATTCATTTATATATTTTTCAAATACAAATGTGAATATAGGAAATACAAAATTGTTTTGTTAATTTAAAATTATCTGTTAATCGTTTTATTTAATTTCAGAAAATGGTTCATTTACGACAGATTCCGAAAATAGTGCATAATGTAAATATAGTATATCGCATGGGTTAGTTCGATTGCATGCCTGATGTAAAAATAATAATAAATCGTATGTATTGCAGAACATCCTGGAGTCATGGTCTTTTATATTTGGTATAGTTGTGGCACGAGATTATTACAGCCTCTTCCAATAAACGACCAATTCAATCTAGTTGAAACAACATAAAATTAATGAGGAATTAGCCTTTATATATTTTCTACATTTTTTATCACATACATATGTATTTTCTAACATTGCTGTTTCATACCTGCAATATGTTGACTCCTTGCATAATATTCTTTCGATGAAAAATCCTAATACGAGAGTGAGGTGATTGTTCCCACTCATGGCGAACTTATCCCATGGTGTATTGAGTTGAGAACTGTTGACGGCATAACTCCCACAGTACTTTCCACGCACATATGATCATGCTATTTTGCCCTTACTCCCCTGTTGCGTGTCTAATGACTTCGAGTTTATCCACACAAGAGTGAAAACATGAAGGGTTTCTAAAGGTGGTGCACTGCCTTTTCAATCCACGATTTTGAGTTTGAGCACTCAGGCTTGGGTCAACCAGCAACACCAACTCTAACTCTATTAGGTGCTTATGCTATTAAATTTTAGAACGATACCGGGTACATTTATATGAGCGTTGAAAAAACTATATACCGATTCATGTTTTCATGAAAGAAATGTACATGAATTTGAAACGATGGTATTGATCATAACTGACAGAATGTCAGCCTTCTATGACAGCAAGACGGTGAAGTTGTGATAATGTTCACAGCGCAACAACGCATGTAGAGTTAAAGGTAATTGCAAACTTCAGATGCATTCAAACATGAGACATTTTTTGTCGTTTTTCATCATTTCATTGGCAGTGTCGGACGATGAGCATATCTTGGTATCAATTACTGAATTTATGAATGTGCGAACCACGTGCTGTACGCTAAAGTTGTGTCCATAGTCAGCTGGCGCACAGGCGGTAATATAATAAATGCGATATTTAACTATATGGGGTCGCCATCTTGAATACGGCATGAACATAAATAAAGAGAGTTATGAAACGCGTTTTTCAGTTTTCTACAAATCGAGGGAAAATGGTTAACAAAATTTGACCGAATTCGTCGTTTTGTGTAGAAAAATCTCTTGCATACAAACACATAACTACATGAAGAACATATCGAAAGTCGAAGATAGGGCGTTCCACATGCGCGCACACCGTTTTGGTGGTGTAACGTAAACTTGCACGCGTGATATTGTACTTCTGGGTATACCAATCGACGTCACAAAAATAACATTCTTTATCGACTATCAGCAAACTGACATGTTGCTATTTTTGAACAGTAGTTTTGCTACTTACGGGAAAGTGGTTTATGGGGTAAAAAAGTGAAAGTTCTTCAAAATATCGGTATCGTGTAGCATACACCAATGAATATTGTCATCACAACATTTTAGAAGTCAAACGACTACACAACGACAATGCCTGAAATATAAGTCATTTTGGCTTCACAAATGCACGTTTCTACTAGAGGGCACGATTTATAGAAAAGGCGTATACCACGAATAGAGAAGTCATTGCAATGAACAATTGCATGATACATATAGTGTAGCATCAGCAATTACTCAAAATACGCGACATATAGTGTAGAATTGGTAGTGACACATATTACACTACATATAGAGTAGCATCAGTAACACATATATGCTACATATAGTGTAGCGTAAGCAATGACACATATTACACTGCGTAAAGAGTAGCATCAGTAATGACATATATGCTACATACAGTGTAGTATGAGCAATGGCATATATTACACTACATATAATGTAGCATCAGCAATTACACATATTACACTATATATAGTCTAGAATCGGCACTGACACTTATTATGCTACATATTGTGTAGAATTGGCAATGACACATATTACACTACAAGCAGTGTAGCATCAGAAATGACACATATTACACTACATATAGTGTAGCATTAGCAATTACACATATTACACTATATATAGTCTAGAATCGGCAACGACACATATTATGCTACATATAATGTATTACACTGCGTAAAGAGTAGCATCAGTAATGACATATATGCTACATATAGTGTAGTATGAGCAATGGCATACATTACACTACATAAAATGTAGCATCAGCAATGACACATATTACACTATATATAGTCTAGAATCGACAATGACACTTATTATGCTACATATAGTGTAGAATTGGCAATGACACATATTATACTACAAGCAGTGTAGCATCAGAAATGACACATATTACACTACATATAGTGTAGCATTAGCAATTACACATATTACACTATATATAGTCTAGAATCGGCAATGACACATATTATGCTACATATAATGTAGCATCAGCAAAGACACATCTTACACAGCATATAGTGTAGAATTGGGAATGACACATATTACACTACATACAGTGTAGCATCAGCAATTACATATATTATGCTACATATATTGTAGCATCAACAATGACACTTATTACACTACATATAGTGTAGCACTAGCAATTACACATATTACGCTACATATAGTGTAGCATCAGCAATGACACATAATGCGCTACATACAGTGTAGCATCAGCAATTACATATATTATGCTACATATATTGTAGCATCAACAATGACACTTATTACACTACATATAGTGTAGCACTAGCAATTACACATATTACGCTACATATAGTGTCGCATCAGCAATGACACATATTACGCTACATATAGTGTAGCATCAGCAATTACACATATTACTCTACATATAGTGTAGCATCTAGAATGACACATATTACGCTACATATAGTGTAGCATCTAGAATGACACATATTACTCTACATATAGTGTAGCATCTAGAATGACACATATTACTCTACATATAGTGTAGCATCTAGACTGACACATATTACGCTACATATAGTGTAGCATTAGAAATTACACTTATTGCGCCACACATAGAGTAGCATCAGCAATGACACATAATACGCTACATACAGTGTGGCATCAACAATGACACATATTACGCTACATATAGTGTAGCATCAGCAATTACACATATTACTCTACATATAGTGTAGCATCTAGAATGACACATATTACGCTACATATAGTGTAGCATCAGCAATGACACATATTACGCTACATATAGTGTAGCATCAGCAATTACACATATTACTTTACATATAGTGTAGCATCTAGAATGACACATATTACGCTACATATAGTGTAGCATCAGCAATGACACATATTACGCTACATATAGTGTAGCATCAGCAATTTGTGTTTGAAGTTCGAAAGTACGTAATTTCCGGTTTCAACAAGTTCGAAAATAAAATAACGCGTAGAACTTCTTGCGAACCATACACTAGCAGCGTATCCGTATTGCAAATTTGCGTAATTTGAACCCAGTTTGTTCTTACAAGATTTCTAAGTTTCAATTATCATTATTTAGTAAACAGACCAATGAAACGATTTAATATTTCTGTAAAATACGTGCCAACCGACGACTGACTTTGAAACGTTCGAAGTTTCGAACAAACTCCCGGCACACCTTGTGCGATATGGAGAAGACGCCGACCTGCAGCGTTAATGCAATGACACATATTGCGCTATATTATTACGCTACATATTGTGTAGCATCAGCAATGAACCATATACGCTACATAGAAATACGCTACGAGAAATTTGATCCAAAGGTGGGGTAACTGTTAATTCTTCTGTGATTTTTTTGGCTTGGCCGATTTGGTTCAAACTTGGCAGGCATGTCACACCTGCACTCTAGTTAAGTGGTTGAATCTGAAAACAAATTCTGGCCCACCGTTTCCGTGGCAACATCCAAAAAATGATTTTTTTTGAGTACCTTCGCGACAAAAGTATTTACCATACAATTCTAGAATTAAAAAGCTCGGACGTCTACATCTCTCAAAACGGCATTTATATTGGTAGGTAATATCTGATCATAGCAACGGATGACTACAAATCAAAGCAAAAACCATGGTCAACCCTTTGGCTGGTTCCTGCCTCAAGTGTCATGGCGTACCAAACTACAACAAGCCGGTAACTCGTTGTGTCGTCACCGGAAGCGCTGTCCCAGCACAAACCTGTGTCATATGACACCTTACTAGCCGGTTTTGGCTAAAATTCCGCTCCGCCGCCGCTTTACAACAGTGTTTATACGCGGAACTTGATATTGCTTTTTACAATTTGGGTTGCCTTTGAATCACATATTTTAGTGAAATAATGTTTATAGAGTGAAATATTATTGTCATACATAATTCAATCTTTGAAACAACAGAAACTAACACATAATAACGATCATCAAATTTGTGTTTGAAGTTCGAAAGTAGTTGCGTTATTTCCGGTTTCAACTAGTTCGAAAATAGAACGTCCTTGAGCGCAATAAAATCACACGTAGAACGCCTTCCGAACCAGACTCTAGCACCGTAAACTTATTGCAATTTGCGCAATTTGGGCGCAGTTTGTTCTTACAAGTTTTCTAAGTTTCATTTATCATTATT